ATTATCGTGTAGTTGGTGACTAGACAGTTGTCTTACATTAATTTTATTTCTTAGGTACATTGGTAGTGTTCGTAAGTGTGACTGTTGAGGTAGGTAGAGACTGTTCATAAGTGTGGGAGAGCCAAGCTTCGACACGAATGGGCTGTCTCGGCCGGAGTGATACCACGGCCTATCACAGAAGACCGACGTAAAACATCGCTTGCGTTGTGTTTCGTCTTGTGAGTGAGGTTACCAGAGCATACAATCTCCCCAATCTCCCCAATCTCCCCAATCCCCGAATTCCCAACCATCCTCAAACTCCTAATCCCCAAAAGGCCGGTAACGCACTTGTAACGCCTCTGGTGTTCCAGGTAACCATGGGCGACGCCGATTGTTTACCACCAGATGATCCGTCTGCTCATTTACCGGTTAATGCTATAAAAAAAGGTGCCCTGAGTTCGATTTTTAAATTTATCAGTATTGTTTTAAAATTTCTAGTAAGTAGGTTGGCTACATTGTGGTGTGCGCGTGCTAGTCAAGTCATCTCATTATGAGTACCTGTCGTGTCCTGAAACGAATGAGCACCGTCCTTGAAATTAATACGTACTGTCTAAAAAATAATGTCGTGGTGGCCCGAAGGTTCAAGACACTCGCTTCTCATGCACGAGGGTTCGAAACCTACCAACGGCAGGTACCAATGTGATTTTTTCTGAGTTATATGCACTTTCTATAATTGACAATGACATTGACACCACTGACAAACGGTGAAGGAAAACGTCGTGAGGAAACCTGAACTTATAATTTCTAATTTGAAATCGCCAACCCATATTGAGCAAGCGTGTTGATTAATGCTCAAACCTTCTCCGTGTGAGAAGAGGCCTTTGGTTAGCAGTGGCCACTTATAGGCTATTGATGATAATGATGATAATCAAGATGACCACATGGAAAATTCTGAAGATGTTAAACCTCACCCATACACAAAGCAACCGCGTCTAGCGTAGCTTAACCTGATTCACAAGCAAGTATTTAGTCACAATGTCTCCAACATCTATTACACGGTGGTAATCATAAATAACTTCACGCCGTGTTTACTTCTCAACAAGGTAAGCAGGTGAGTAAGGCATCTTAAAGATACAATCTAATTGTTGACAATTAACACAAATGTCGAGATTTGTGTCAGTGTATTTGTCATTTTACTTTTGTTTTAAATATAGTTTAGAAATTATTAGAGTGACAAATAGTTCAAGTTACTTTGATGAAGCTTTCAGTTTGAGTATAATAATAAAGCCTCATTTATTCCTTAACAATCGATTTACATGGTTTTTTTTACAGTATCGAATTACATATAAATTTGTAGTAACAATATATTTTAATTTAAAATTTAGTAAAAAAATATAGGTACAACACAAAATTTGTAAATAAGTAAATTGATTTTCATGCATATAAAAATGTATATTTATTAAGGACCTCTCTAAAGTAAAGGCCTCCTCCATTTTTCTCCATTGATCTCTGTCTATAGCCTTTTCTAACGAGTCATTTCCCACTGTGTTCAGTATTTCATCGAGCCACCTCTCCCTTGGTCTACCTCTCTTTCTCTTTCAGTTCTTGTCAGTTTGAGTAGGACACAAAAAATTATATGGAAAATCCGTTAGTTTTCAGTTTTATATTCGAATGTACAAAGGAGCCTCATGTGTCGAGGGAGCAAGGGGTTGGGGTTGGAAAACCACGTGGAGTAATATTCAATTTTTCAAAATTCTAACCAAAATAAATAAATATAAGTTACAGGTGGATCTGGCCATCATTAGATGAGAATCTATAGATTCATCAGAAAAAGAGGGCGGTTCTTTCCAGTAGTACCTAAGTGATCCTAGGCTAAAATCATAATGATGATGATGACCTGGAGTGTTAACTGTGGTGACTGTAGAGTAAAATATATTTTCGTGATTATGCGTACTCTTCCTTTACCTCTAGATGTCGTAACGTAAGGGTGCGTCCACATCTGGCGAATGATTCGCGAACCGCTCGCGAGTCCCCCGCAAGCTGCGGGCGTGCATTTAAAATTATTAATTATACGAACCTTGTATGAGTTGAGCACCAAACCATTGCCGTGACTGTGCCGCTGGTGAACTGCGCATTCGCGGAGCATTCGCCAAATGTAGGGTTGAGCAACAGTGCACTTTAATGAACCTAAACCTTTTCAATCCCATCTGCTTTGTTTAATTCTTCCTTCCGCCTTAGATGGGGCAAGAGAGAAAAAGAGAGAGAGTGTCATACTCTTACTGACTCAAAGCCATCCCGTTCCGATTCCCGCTTTAAGTCAGAGCCCTGGTAACTCGTTAAGTGGTCCGGGTACCTCCCATGGTAGAGACTATGACATGATAAATACTCTAATGTAGAGGAGGTCAGACTGCGCCAGACAGGATTGTCTGGATTTGTGGATACAAACAAAGAGAGATGGCGGGAGATCGTGAGGAAAGCTGTATCGGCCACCAACACAAATACGGCCGCCTCAACGTGACCACGACCGCTCTGCCAAGAGCGAAACGACAGAGAAGAGAAGAAGAGGAGGTCCAGTGTCCAGCAGTGGACTATCTTCGGCTATTGATGACGACAATTATCTCAGCTTATTTGAGGAACAGCACGTGTAAAGCCATGAACTACATTCAGCAGGTGATTTTTACTGCTTGTGTAGTTTATTTTAAAATACGATTACTAATACAGCTTTTTGTAACAAGTTGTATAATATATATCTAATGTCATATTTTATTATTTGAATGTGTATGTTGGTTTGTTGACTGCCTCGTTGGCCGATGGTCGCTAGTGCTACTGCCGGGCAAGGGAATATAGATTTTCTATGTATACAATTGGTAAAATTATGAAGAATGGTTCAAACTAACTCACGTCTAATATTTGTTTCTTACAGGAACCCGGCTGGGAGTACGAAACGGAGCTTGTATGTCGATCTTTACCATAGGTACCATTTATCACATAGTGACGTGGGTCTCATAACATTATCTGGTAAAAGGGATATCCCGCTGACAGGAACATCTAATTATATTTTCATCTATGAATCTTTTGCGATACTAAAACCTGTAATTTTATGTACACGATGCGTATTGAAGACATGATCTTACTTATGTTATGTTACAAATAAGAAAAGTGAGTTTGTATGTTTTTGTGTATATTTGTTCCTCAATTACTTCAAAACGTCTGAAGAGATCGGGATGTATTTTGGAACAAAGCAGTAGATTATGAGTCCGGAATATCATATAGGTAAATTTTTATAGGAACGTGGGCGAAGTCGTTGACAGACGGTCAGATCAGATGGCATTGCACCATTTTTATTCTTACGATCTATGATCACGTCTTTCGTTTATTTTTTTATGGGATAATCCGAGAAACGAGCAGAAGGAAAACCTGATGGTAAGCAATTGGCGTCGCCCATGGACACCTGGACCACCACATGCGTTACAAGTGCGTTACCGACTTTTTGTGGATTATGAATAAGAGGATTATTGGGATTCAGAGATTGGCGAGATAAGGGGGGGGGGGGGGGATTGGGCCTCCAGTGACCTCATTCACAAGACGAAACAGAACGCAAGCGTTGTTTGACGTCGTTTAAAGGCTGTTAAGGCAAAGCCATAGGCAATTCCATGTTAATTTTAAATTGCTAATTAATGCAATGACTAATTACGCTTATAATAAGTCGTAGCCTAATCAGCCATATTTGCTTTCGTGTCTAGACCAGACATTTTTTACTGATTAAGAAAACTAAGTAGGTTACCTAGCAATGGGCGCATGTACTAATCTGCTGATCTTGAATTTTTAGCTGGTCTGATGATTTTTACATAACACATGTCATAGTATTGCGACTGTGTTTCGTTAAAGGGTGAGGCAGTGGAGTAACTATCCTTACTTTTTTTGTTGTTTAATCTCCTCTTTGCGGGTATCGTCTCTCCACCCAGCTGTAGCGGGTCCTTTTTTAAGGGGGGAAAATCATCGAATGACGTCTCCCGTCTGGGTGAGGCGGGAAGGAGTGTCAGACTCTTACTGACTAAAAACTAGCCCGTGCCTACTCCTGCACTTCGACCCGCAGCCCCGGTAACCCGTTAAGTTCTCCGCGGCTCAGTATCTGCATCAGCCCTATTGGGCTCCATCCGTGGTGGTCTGATGACTCTTTGAGGCTCGCGCGGAACGCGACGCGCCGCACGCTCGGATCTGGTTCTGGTCGGGCGACGGGTCCTACACTGCCTTTACCAAGATGTGGTCTACATTACTACTTCAATTTGTCTATCCTTATTTGTTTAGTTTTCAGTTTTATTACTTAAGTTTGGCATATTGCTTTGGTAATGCTAATATAATGACAAAACTGGTAAATAGTCACGTATGGGCTGTAGTTAGCCTTCTGTATAACCTACTGACTTTTTATGTTTTGTATTTCGTTATATTGTTTGTATTTTATTATTATTTTATGTTATTTTGTCTCTATTTCAAATGTTATATTGACTGCCTCGTTGGCCTGGTGGTCGCAAGTACGACTGCCGAGCAAGGGGTCTCGGGTTCAATTCCCTGGTCGGGCAAAGTATTACTGGGTTTTTAAAAATCTCAGTAGTAGCACGGAGTCTGGAATTGTGCTCGGTATATGGCAATAGGCTCACCCCCTATTACATGGGACTCATAACATAACTAGTGAAAAGTGGGTGTTACATTGTATATTGGTATAATGTACACCTCTGCCTACCCCTTCGGGGATAAACGGCGTGATGTTATGTTAATGTAAATCATATTAATATGTTTCGATTTATTTTTTTACTTTATTATAAGTTTAGACTATGTAATGATGTGTATGTTGCGAAGCTGTGGCTTAAGGCTGTGTTTTCTTGCCTAGTATTGTTAATTAAACTTATAGACCCTGCAGGGTCTCTTTTCTAAGTTATTTAATATTTTTATAGTATTTGCGCATGTGTGTTCTGCATCATCATTGTTTATTAGGGTTGTAGAAAGGAAATAAAATTCGGAAATAATTGTAATGTACACAATTTATTCATATCGTATAGTGTTCTTATACAAAGATAATAAATTGTAAAATCCTCTTTCACGGTCCGAACAATAAATAAATACTTAGTATACCATCTTCTCAGTCCTATCACATGCCCTTTAGAGCAATACTAGGAGTAACATTTACAATATTTACTGAAATACTTGCCAACTAGCATCTCTTAGGATTCGATACATTTACAAATTTAATCTTGTGTCTACCACGAGTTCGTTACTCACTACAACTCGAAATCATCTCGCTGTTACACTAATTTATCAACTACCATTCGCTTTTCAAAAGGAAACGAATAGATCTACCAATCGAGTTGCTGTGAGTCACAAACCCGTAGTAACGACCATGGTTCTCGAAAGATGAAATGGCCATTTTCTTTTTTTACTAATAAGTGTACAAAAATATTCCTTTATGTAGCTATTTATAAAGGTAGGTATGTATTGTAAAAGGCACTGGTATTCTTGTTTTTGTTATATTTATCAATACATCTGTCGTATAGGATTTAATGTATGTAGTACTATTTAATGTCTTACATAGTATTTGCGATTTCTCACCAGTTAACCAGAGGACCTATCTTTTTGGTTCAAAACTTAACGGGGCAATCCGAAATGAGAAATATACATTAATTTTATAAATAACCATCTAAGTTGGACTTAAATTTACTTAGATCAAAGCTTACAAACTACTTATAAGAACATAGTCTTTAGCCATCGATTTTTCACTATCGAGTCTTCGAAAAGATGAAACAGATCTACTACTTTAACTTAATTACATATACATACATAGCTCATCACTAAAAATGCATTTTTTATATCCTATCACTGAGTAGACAAGTTTTATCTGTTCGAAAAGTCTAAACCGAACATAATTAGTCTCATTTTCATATAAAAGGGTCCAGGAGGCGCGTCTACGACGACCTGCCACTACTTCTGCCTACCCTACACGAGTACATACTATACATCGACCACGACAGACAACTAATAGGAAGGATTACAAATAGGCGTCGGCTTAGCCGCTTACAGCTGCACAATATGATACAAATATAATATTCATCTCTTTACAACGTGGTAACTTCATCTACTGGGAGGGGAGACAGTTTGTACGAGCGAGTGCGACGCTGAGCGCAGGGCGCGGGGCGCGGGGCGCGGCGCGGGCGCGGGCGGGGGCGGCTGCGCGGTCCAGGCGCAGGCGGCGGCTGCTCAGTGCTCGTGCGCGCGCGCCTTGTTCTGGTGCATCATGTTCTTTAGCGTGGCCACCTCCGTCGCCAGCCGCTCCAGCTCCGCCTTCAGATGCGTGTCGTCCTCCTCAGTCACTAGCCTGTCGTCAGGTCGCTGCGGCCTGAACTCTGCGCCTATGGAGATCCCAGAGTCTCTTTCGTCACTAGAACCTTCCCCGTCCCATGAGGGTGAGGACCGGGGACCTGGCTCCTGCTTTATGTGCTGAAGGGAGAGCAGGGCGCTAGCGACATCCTTGTCACCGAGATGGGATTTATGGCGAAGTTTGAGCGGCAGCCCGTTGTTTTCAGGGGCATACTGTTCAGCGGTCTCGTCCCCTGAGCCTGAGAGAGAGGACAGCTCATAGGGAGAGGGCACGCGGCGAGATCTGGACAGGTTGAGAACTGAGCCGGGTGGCTCGTAGTGTGCAGGGTGTGGGTAGTACGCTTCGGGGGCCGGTAGCCTCTCTTGGTAGGGCTCCGGCTGGCGCTGAGGTGGTGGTGAGGGAGGCGATGCAGGTGCTGCTGGTGGTGGTGGTGGTGGCGCGGGGAACAGTGCGTTCGGCGTCAGCTTACTCCTCTTCGTGACACAGAGAACCTGATCACATGTAGGTAGAGTGGCCAACACCTGGTCTATGCTTATGAGGGTTTCTCCACATATTCCATATTTCTCCTTTATAGCATCAAGCTGTGCTTTGAGTACGTGGTTCTCCTTTGACAGTTCAACGACGCGCTGTTCCAAAACCATGTCATTAAAGCGCCTCTTTTCTCGGGAACGCTTGGCAGCTTCGTTGTTTCTCCTGCGACGGTCCCAGTAACCATCATCTTTCTTGCTGTCGGGGATGAACTCCCTCTGCTTACGCTGACCGAAAAACTCCTTGCGTTTGTTGAATTCGAAAGGAGAGTAGTCATTTGGGTCGCCGGGGCTGCCCACGGGGCCTTGGCTCTGGTCCATTGGGAAGTGTGGGGAGACGGAGTGGCGACCTCTTGGAGGAGGTGGTGCGCGGGAAGGGGGTGGCACGGGGCCCAAGGCTCCACCACCCGCTCCGCTCAGCAGCTGCTGCTGACTCAGGATGAACTCGGCAACCATGTTTCGGCGGACGTCGATTGGTCCGCACGAATTATCACTGTGGTTCTGAAACAAGCGAAAAGTTACGTTAGTTACAGTTTGTAAAAAAATTCGCTAACTGTTGCAGTTGTCTAAATAATGTCGCTGTTACAAAATCGGTCGGTTGCAAAAACTGAATGTCGCAAGATCCCGCCGCTGCAAAGTTGTTGCACGTGGATCACCTTTGTGAAATAATGTTGCCACATTTCAACGCTTTTCACTCCCTTCATGTTAGCCAAACTCATTAATAAGTCGTGTTTCTTAATTTTAGCGTGTTACAATGGATTGGTAACCAATTTTAAGGTTATACCGGATTTGTTCCGTTACAAAACTCACTTCCTATTGCTGAACGTTGATTTTGCTTAACAAGTAATGTTACGATGGACGTTTTAATATAGAATGATTGCAGCAGACTGATGTCGAAGACGACTGATGGATGATTACATGACAAATTAATTGAAATACTCACTCAAATTTAATTACGAGTAATTTTTTCAAGACGAATTTGGATCAGATATTTCGAAATTGCCTTACCATGCTTTAAACACGTGACAATTAATAATTTTCTTCCATTGGGGTTAAACTAACAATAATATTTAGGTTTCGTAACAGTCACGTTGATTTTAACGTGGGCTAAAATTAGCTGATTTGTCGACGCGTGATACGCCGAAAGCATCACTCAACACAATGTCGTTCACCTTTATGTAACGCGGCTGCTCGATAGGACAATCGATTTACATAAATCATGTACATTATTCGATTAACGATCAATTATGAGGCGGTAATACAGGAAGTGTAAAAAAATGTACCAGTACACAATTGTTATCAAGTTTATTATCCAAAACTAACAATGGTAAGGATCATTTGTAAGTGCCTATTGTGGCGACTAAGTTTGATTGTTTTTTGAAATGATTTTAAAACAATGAGAGTTGCACTAGGTTGTGCACAGAAAAAAACTTTATCACGTTTGATAACACGCGGTCTGAAGGTAGGCAACGTGAGAGTAACGTTTTTTTTTCGTTAAAAGAAAAATTATGTGTTTTTCTCCGTATTTTGTCGGTTATAATGTGTCAAAACACGTGCGTACAATAAAAAGGACGCGAATCAACCGATTTGAATTTCGAATTAAGTTTGTAAATTTCAAATTAATTTAAATTTCGAACCAATATCCGCCGCTTCGAGATTTAAACAGTAATTAATATTAAGAAGCACATTAAGTATTAAGTGCTGAATACTCAACAGATTGGTTTCTTCGATATTTTTTTTCTCTATGTCATAAAGCAATGCCGCTAAAAAGTATGATTGTGTTATTGATACGTTCCGTTCCACGACACGACAAGATCGGTGTCAGTAGGTCGGCCCAGATGCGCCGGCGCCCGTTATGCCGTCTAACTGTTTAAATAATTGCGCCAACTTTAATTGCTATACATTGTTATTGAAAAATGACAGTGGGATCTTTGTTGTTCTTAATTATATTGGATTAAGGTTAATCAGCTCAAATCTAGGTTATAATTTAGACCAATTAAATGGATAAACTGAAAACTCTATAGTTTTAACGAAATGTTAAAATTATGCTGATTTGTATTAATAGAAGCAAGTTCCGTTAGTTCAATATTACTATATTGTACAGTTACATATAACTATTCAAACATTTTTTGTCGGTTGCCCCGTTCGAAACGCCCACTTTATTAGGTGTTAATTTAAAACAGTATTCATGATCGTAATACATGGAAATAGTTTCGTCATAACTTACGGGACTTTGGACTCGTTGGTGACATGGACTTTAAAACAAACAAACCTCTTTTGTGTAATCTATGATCGCGGATACTACCAACCTTCAAAAATGAAACGTCACTTTTTAAAGTTCGAATTGCAAATTGATCGCAATTAATTTGTGTAATAAATGCGTTTTTATACAGTAAATTATGATTTTTTGCTCCATTTGCAAAGAGATTAACAGAAAAATGTTACCGCCCGTTATGCTGTTGACGCTTGGCGGAGCATGGACAGTTAAACACCGTTTCAAACCGAACTGTTACTATTTAGCATTGGTTATAAAAATATAAGCATTGTTAACTTTTTTGTTGTTACTTTTTAATGAGGAAATTTGTTTTAAGACGTCCTCTTTACAACTTATGAGTTCGTTTCATAGATTTCTCAAACTATGATTCGCAATATCTTCAAATCTTTATGACATTAATTAATATAGCAAATATAATTGGCTCAGGAACGATGTAAACTCGTTTTCTGACATCGGACTGACGTGCCAATTAACACTGTAACTGTTAACCATATATCAGATTAACCAAACGTTGATTTAGAAATAAAATGTAACCGCTAAGTGATGACGACACGCTAAATAGTCGTTTCATAACAGTATTACGAGTTTTAGACATCAGTGATGAGCATAAAAAACCGTTTTTGGTTGTACCGTACGAACCCAGTTTTCGGATAACGGACCGCAGCGCGAGAAAGTACTCGATTAGTGATAACTGTCGATTGTCAAAACCCGCTTGATAGTTGCTGGCAACGTATTGTATCACCGTTAGAATGCGACTGCCATTTGCTGCGATGGGAAAATATTTGGTTTCAAATAGAGAACTGATTTGAAAATGTCTAGTTTCTTCCAGTCACGTTGTATAGGGCTGGACCTACGCAACACTGCACGTGGCGTAGGTCGAGAGCGGGCTTCAACACGTGTCGACCCCTCCAGTCTAAATATAGTGTAGTTTTTACTGTCTTCGCGTCTCTTATTTCCTAAATGCGTCAATTTTTGTCACGTGTGCATTGAATCATATATTCGTTGTTCATTTTTTATATTATGGTAAATAATGTGCATTCGGTCTAAGGTTGCTACTTTTAAAGCCGCGTCGCGTTGAGAGGGTTATGGCTACAATTTTAATTAAACATTCGAGCACGTTTTGTCGAAAACGTGTGTCCAAGATTAAACAATGAGAAAAAAGAACAATAAAATTTATTTCGCTCAAGTGTTTGCATAAATTATATTAATTAAATTCTTTAGCTATTTTGTCACGTGTATTTGAGTCAAGATCTTAAATTGACTCTATTACAAGTTCTTTATCAGAGGCATTTCGTAACGAAGTGAGTGGTGAGGTGTCGACTGAGTCATTGTTCAAAGTTCTACCCAACAAACATTGATAGCATTTATTTACATAGGAAATATTTTAGTATATTACACAATAATATTGTATATAATAATTACAGTATGATTAATTATTCCAGATTAATTAATTCCTGTTATATTCCGCCGATATATGACATAATAAATGCAAATTGTTGCATAGAACATAGGTACGTTAGCGTCATAGACTATGCACGTGCTTAGGCACGAGGTTGTCTCTGATTATGTCATTAGAACCGCCATTTGAATTAGAAATAGACAAGTCTCGTGCACAATTAAACGTCTGGTATTTTTATAATCGAATTTAATTACTATTCAATGTTATTGTCGTTTATGATTAAAAAAGATTTAACATTTGAATCGATTTGCTTTAAGTCTATTTATAGTTCGTATGACCCCACACGATATCGTTATCTATGGTTCGTTTTTCGATAAAGTTTTTTTTTTGGGTTGTGTTGTGTCATGTCAGAGTTCAGGGAGGTAGCCCTGTGGTGACCTTAGTGATTTGTTCGTCCCTATACCTGCAGCACACGTGCCAAAGCGTGGTCAGGTCACGCGGCCATCAACACGTGTCGGCTGTACTTGAACCTCACGTTGTGTTGCGCAACGAACCGACCCAAGCACGTTTGCTCTTCTCTACATAGTTATATAAACTGCAACGTGATCGAAGAACGTGAAATTTAATTATTAATTGCCTTTAATGGCGTTGCCCTTGGCTTTGACAGTGGCATTGTTTTGATCAAACATTTACGCGGGTTTTTTGTTGATTTTTTTTTCTTATTATTATTTTAACTAATGCTATCTCTGTCGCTCTTACTAAGTTATTGATTATACGACAGCAACTGGATTATTAACTGGATTTTTCAACTGTTAATTTAAAAAAAAACGTGTTTAGCAAACTTGTAGAAATCGTGGCAAAGTCAAGTTTAATTATTGTAACATTCGTGCCAGTAGAAATAAATAACAGCGCTCTTGACCTTAGTTTAAATAATATATAATCGGCGCCATCTTGGAAAAAGTAGAGAAAGTAGTACAGCGGTAACTTTCCACGCGCTTGCCGTTTATTGCGCGGGAAAAGTGGGACGGCGGCCATATTTGATTTGACGCTTACCACCAACTATGAAATGTTAGAAATACATTTAATACTTTTTATAATTGTCTAGGCATTTAAAGCGTGCTAGTTTATTTGAAAAAAAATATGTCATGAAATTTATTTTTCATTTTAAACATTTTTTATTTGAATAATATTAACGGTAATACTAAATTGCTCAATTCAATCTTTGAGGACGTCAAAGTTATACTCAGAAAAGAATACTGCGACAAATGTCTTCGCGTTCTTCCGGGTAACAGTCTCGATGAAAACTTAGCAAGAAATAGAAAATTGTTGCATAATTTATATGACGTTCCCGTTGGCGCCAATGGCTCATTGTCTGTGGTTATGAATTATGTCAAGATGTGAATGTTTTGAAAACTTGGTGCGCGTCGAGTCATATGTTATGTCTTAGAATCCGTCTGTTACGGTATCCACGTTATTTTAACTTACCATCTTTGAAGTCGCGTTCCCTTGATATATTTCAAACATTTTTACAACAAATATTACACATATACTTGACCGATTTTTCGCGCGCAAGACCTAATTAAAGGCGGGAGCGTTATTTCGGTACTGGCGGCCTCTATCGGTCGACTCACGATAATGGTTTGGTGTCAAGGTTATATTTCGTAACACCGATTTATATACGTGCCAAGGCTTTTCCGCTTTTCCGGTAGAAATTGTCTTTTTAAATAAAAGATAACGAATGATAACAACTGTTTGAGTGAATCAGTTTTAAGACAAAGATACCTAGTTACGTGGCCTTGCTCTATACCTGCTAATTGCTACATTATTAAGAAACATTTAACCTATTTCCTTGTGCTAGATTCGTGGAGTTAGTTACATAACAGGCCTGCTTCGAGGAAGTGTTGTAAGAGGAGCGAATGTTTTGTTCAATTCAGAGAGGTCATCCACAAGATAATGCTTTTGGGAGCTATTATTATCAGTAGTCATAATATCAACTGTCATTATCGTTACTGACTCACGGGGATTCCCATTTAATTAAATCGTTGTTCGGAAACAACGAATGCAAATGTCCTAGTTTCCTCGCTCAGTGTCCAAATCATCAATCACTGATATTTCGGAGCTTCTGTGTCCACAATGGGCCACGTCACAGCGGTCCACTTCATCGCAATTGGTTTTACACATTCACGTGCGCATCACTAAGTAGGTTACAGTTACGCAGTGAGCGAGATAAAAAAAATAGGTCAAGTTATCATTACTTGTCCTCGCGCCGATGAAATTATCGCTCTTGTTATTGCGCGTGAAAAAATCTACTTACGTAACTGTTGTATAAAAAGCATAATCCAGGCAAATATGTTGGGGGTTACATCCCAATGTCGTACATTTATAATTTCTGTAACCCTGGCTGGATTTTTCTTTATCTTTAGCTAATATTTACTAACGTATTTCGGTTAATTAGGTGACGGTCTTAGTAATGGTGTCAGAATGTAATGTTTACTTAGGTATCGGTTAGAATGACTCAATTATGACTGGATAACGATAAATGCATGTCGATTTGCGGTTAAATAAACGTTGTGACCTTACAAGCGTTTGTATTGCTTTCCGTACAACCTTGTGTTTAGTTCCGTATTACATCACATGCCTACAATGCATTTCGTGATAACTCTATCTACCTGTTCGATACGCCTTTGTTCGATTGTGTGGCTATTTAAAATAAAAAATGTATTTTCGGTGCGTTTTACGGAAGTTTTAAGTAAACAAGATAACAAACAAATGGCAGTCGTAAGAAGCAATGTGCTTGGAACCTTCATTTGTCTTTGGTCGATTTTGACAGTTGAAAGTTCGTTGAACTCTCGCCATTTTTGTTCTTTAGCGGACTTTGGCGTGGGCTCGTTAGTACGTTTAGTACGTGGTAGACATCACGTTGTATTGCAGTCGATTGCGCAACACACACCCTAGGGGTTACGTCATCGTATTGGCGACCTTTGCAGGCGATCGATTGTTGCACTCGTACTGCATGTCTATGGAACAGGTGGTAGTAAAATAGCAGTAGGGGTGGGAAATGACAACATGTTGTTTGTTTGTAATGATATTTTTCTCTATTTTTCTTTTAAGTTTTTTTTTCTGCTATAGGAATTAAAGCTTTGCTCTGATTATAATTTCTGTTAGAGTTGAGAAAATATTTTAGTATTTATTTTTTGAATTGTTTAATACTGTGCACTAGAAATATATATTATGATTTATTATGTAAAAATATTTATAATTGTTTAAGTAAATGTCTCTAATATTGTTTATTACTTTATAACCACTTGGATGAAATTAATATTTACAAAAAATATTACAACAAAAAACTACATCCTAACTACCACACTACATGCAACGCAACAACTACAAAACAATAAAGTGCAATATTAACAAAAAATCTAGTTTCCGTACATCCGCGGGCGAATGCACGCCGGATCGGAACCTTGAACCACTTGTGTAAGCAACTCACAATGGCTTACGACAGAACGGTGCCAGGCGCAACTTACGACACCAGCCAACGCAATCCCGCAATTAAACTGACTACACACTATTACTTGTACTTTACCAACATTACAACACAAACGAAAAAAAACCCGAAAAAATCACGAAAAAAATAAAAATGACACAGCACTATTCGGCAAACCGTTTATCAGATTATTTCGTAACATGTTAGATAAACGAAACACAGGATAGTACTCGTAAACAATTGTAAAAAAAGAAACGTATTGTATACGCACATACATAAAATGCGACGAAAACATTATCGAGGAAGCAGAAATGCAAACAAAAGAACGAAAACAAGGTGAAACATTGAGGGCCGTCATTGAGGAGTTTCAAGAACATACAGAATTTAACAAATAAAATGATTAACATTGCCGTTTTGGCACAGAACAGACGAGATGAGTAAACATTTTTGGTTGCGATGTCAATGACTCTGTACGAGGAAAACGGAAAATATTTGTATCTAATGCATTCTCTATTCCTAAATAATAATACATTTTTAAAATTATCGTGTCGAAATTGAAATTCGTCCGAATTTATTTCTCGAGTAACTAAAATTTTAATATTTTTGGTGGGATTTTATTTGTCAAGTTTTTTATTTGTATATCTGGAAAATATTGTTTGTTTTCATTTGCATTATCATGTAAATAATATATTATTTCAATTTTGTTGTTTATAATTTTTACTATCTTGAATTTCACATCTAATAGTCGAAATATTTCCTCACCCTAATCCTGCTCTAAATTTGTTAATTGAACGGAATTCATTAACTCTAAATAAGATTTTGACTAGGAAACGAAAAGCGCGATTCTAATTGGACTTGTAAAATTTTTCGAAAAACTTTGATTAAAATTCCAACGTTCAGTTTTTGCACGAAACTCTACAAAACAATAATATAAACAAACAAATAAGATACTTACAAAAATATTTGCGGTGTTTTTGCACTCCTTATCCGGAATTATCCAAATCGTGGGTACAATATCATAATCCACAAAACAGTAATTCACAACGTCCTTATCGCTCACAGTTAGTTTATAAACAGTAAATAAATATAAAATTCAAATGTTTCACTCCCACTAAATCACGTCCTGAATGATTTTTGTCACTATCACAATGTTTGTATGACGAAATATCCACTGCGTATGGCGCTGTGTTCCAATCGCTTGGACAGGTCTGTACTGCGTGAAGTCTCGAGTGCGACTAAATTTTGTAGTGGGGTCGCTCTACACCCAGCCTGCAACACGCACACATCGACACCGTTATCGTAGTGTGCGTCACCGTGAGCGTGTGTGAGTGCTCTGCGCTTGTGTAGGTATATTTACGTAATGCCCTGACGGAGTTCGTATAATCACTTTAGCCAGTATTGAGTCAATGTGCCCGATTTTTTAGCTAATTCACAACTATTGAGTCATATGTTTGTCGCTTTTTGCGTTTTCCATGAAATAATTTAATCGATTGATAAGCGTTCGCTTTAGTTTTGGACAATTACGTGGCGTAAGAATTCTGTCTAGTATTTTACGGCATTACAATTTTTAACTACGAAAAGTTGAGTAAATGTTAATTTTTAAAACGGTTTATCGGTAATGGATTTTCGTAATTGACTATTGGCTGTTTGTTACAAAGTACTTTGTTTTCAAAATATTTCGTAATTTCGTTTCTATTTTGACGAATTATCTTTGTTTGTTCCTTTGTTTTAGCTTCGTATTATTTTTATTGGAGTTAGTAAACAAGATAGTGGAGTATTATTATTAATAATAAGCAGTTTAGTGTTTTTCGTATTTTTCTATTTTTCGGGTGCTACGTGCTACGCAGTTGCTACAGCGTAGCAAGTTTACGAATATTTGATAAAAAGTAATCAATATTTTCTTTAGATAAATTATATTTAAGCTATTGTGTATAAAATTGGTACAGATTTAAGCTTAAGTCTTACTTACATTGATTAATAATCCAATTTAATTTATTATAGGTATTTTGTAAAAACCTATATTTAATTTCCAGGAATTTATAATAGGTCATAACTCAGTAGGTAATATTACATCAAAATAAGGAACTATTGCGAAACGGTCAAGCGTGAGTTGTATCCACGTCATAGGTTTATGACACCGGTTGTAACACAGGTTGTATTTTGTCCCGACAAGGTTGAACTTGTTATTGTATTTTGACGTGTTTATGACAATGACTAATCTATGACATGTTGTCTGGTTTACAGAATGTTTAGATGTTTATCAAAATATAGGTTTACAAGGAAATTAGATATATATAAACAGTGTTACAGTTATTCAGTGTGTTTTGACGGACAGGTCTGAATGATAAGATAATGGTAATATTTTTCGAAATTGATGATTTTGATAATAATTGCGTTCTATACACTACCTTATGGTCTGGTCTGGAGGTCATGAGTACATTTCTGAGTTGAGAAAAATATTATTGTGTGTTTAATGAGTTCACTGCCTCGTTGTTCGTGTGGCACTGTTTGGAATCTTTGATTCGGCTCTCGAGACGGTCAAAATATTACTGAAATGTTTTAATAGTAGATGTATGACAATGGTGTCATCCTTTTACTATTACATGGGATTTTTAACATAACTGACTGTTATGTTAAATTTACAGTAACTGTGTGGTTTAAAATTCAGATTAAATACGATAATAGATCGGGTCAATTATAAAATCAAACTAATGTTTAGTATGATTCGTTTGTCCTTTCACGGAAACGCGTGACATTGTGGTTTTCCCGCACACATGCTCTATTTCTGTAGATTAACCATAGTTATGTAATTCATAGAATAAAGGGGAACTTTGTGTACCGTGTGTTGTGGTGAATCATTATTATTAACATAACGTAACATCACGCCTTTTTATCCCCGAGGGGGTAGGCAGAGGTGCACATTACGGCACTTAATGCCACTGTACAATGTAACACCTACTTTTCACTATTTATGTTATGAGTCCCATGTAATAGGGGGTGAGCCTATTGCCATATACCGGGCACAATTCCAGACTCCGTGCTACTACTGAGATATTTGAAAAATCCCAGTAATACTTTGCCCGACCCGGGAATCGAACACGAGACCCTTTGCCCGGCATTCGCACTTGCGACCACTCGGCCAACGAGGCAGTCATTATTATTAATTATTATTATTGGTAATATAATATTTTGAGGTGAATTAGTTGATTAAGTGATGTGACTGTTAAATGTGATGTATTGGGGTTTGATCTCTGAGTTAGACAAAGTGTTTTTTATTTTTTATAGTGAGAAAGATAAAAATTTTGTTTAGTAGTTTTGTCTATGAGCTAGTTTCTTTACTAAAGAGACTAAAAATAAATATCTAAAAGTACTGAAAAGTGCATGTTAACTAGACTATTGTGGAAATATTTTGCTGTAGTATCCAAAACTTATAATTTTTTGACCCAGGAAGCATTCTTTTGCTTTATCCGTCTTGGTCCGTAATTATTATGATCTAAGATCCGATATAACCTCGACCAAAACAATAAAGTTAAGAAAATTTTTTGACAGAAAAGACTCATATCACCTACAATACAAAGTAAATAATGTATGTTTTCATACAACACATAGAACATAGTATATATCTATATATGTTTTATGTAATATTATAGTTTTATTTAACCTTGACATCGTTCCTTATTCGCGTGTTGTTTAAGAGTCTAGATTTTATACAATTTTGAATTCCTAGAAATCGTATTTTGAAAACGGTATGAGACGATTTTTTCTTTGTTTATTTCAAACTTGTTATGGTTATTAAACAGAATATGTAGTTGTTTAAGTTGTAGAGGGATTTCAAAATGAATTGAGTGTTTTTGGTTCAATAAAATTGTACGTCTCTACTTATCCCTCTGAAAATTAAGAAGCGTTAATAATACTTTTCTATAATAAACTAAATACATCAACATTTAATCAGTTACAAGTTGATTGTACCGAAACTAGAATTTTTTCGCTACGCCAATAAAGTTCAATGAACTATTGACATTGGTGTTTTTACCAAAAATATCATTCTAAAGCTTATAACTATGTTTCACAATAATTATAATTTCAATCGAAATCACAATATTACATTTAAAACTCATTTTCATGAAATAATTTCATGTAAAAGAAAGACTGTACTTAGTTTACGATGCGTGACCAATAGATGGCGCTGATGGTGGTTACCGCGTAAATAACTCTATGAAAAACGTTTCGGTCTCGTGTAGTTGTACTGTGATCACGTTATTTTGTTAGTAATGATTATAATTAAACTTGTTTTGATTGTAAAGACATGCTGAATGTATGATTTGTGAGTTCGACAAAGTATTTCTTTTTGGAGGAAAACGAGGAGACGTATCACTTAATGGTTATACGGAGCCACAGATAACGTAAACGGTTACCCGCCATTTTTTAATGTTTTTGGTTTTAGACCTATTATACATAAAAACCGCAATGAAAGTAACAATACAGTTTACCTCATTTATATGTGTAACAAATTTTCCATACACATTCTTATTTATTCGAATTCGAGGTAATTCATAACTAATACTGCGGTTCCTATGTCCTATTTCCAGACATTTTATATGAATAGTTATTCATATACCTCTCCTTACATATACAAAATACTAAACAATCAATTTATATGAAAAGGTATACCTACTAATTGTCATAATAAGGTACTTTCCCCATAGTTAAATTGTACTTATACATATTTTTTGGAAATATCCTAAATCATAGTTTCCTATAAGTGTTGCACGGGTCTGTGAATTATGACGTCATAATTTACTTTGCGTCAAACAACATATTTATTTTGGTGTATTAATATCGTCAATAGGGATGATGACAGGGTATGAAAATTAAAAATATAATTAGTCCGTAAGTTAGGTAATGAAAAAATATTAGACACGTATTTTTTATTTTATCGTATAATAAAACAATACTTAGATAAAAACGAATCAAAGTTAAGTAGTGGGGGCTAAAACGTCATTTCTACGTATAAAATGTGCATAGAAGTGTGACGTCACGCGACATTTCAAATCAATATATCGTCGAAAGTATTCGTTTCTGTAAGAGAATAAAAAAAATTCGTGTCTAATGATTTAAAATAAAAATTAGGCATCTACCCTATTCAAATAATGACTGTATTTTTATATGTAATGTGAGTAAGTATTGATAAGTTAAACCAATTTGGACATGTTGTCGAACGTTTCGGACGTATTCCTTCTCTATACCCGAGCGTACGGCGCGTCGCGTTCCGCGCGCGCCTCAAAGAGCCATCAGACCACCACAGATGGGGCCCAATACGGCCGATGCCGATTCGGAGTCGCGGAGAACCTAACGGGTAACCGGGGCTCCGGCTCGACGTGCAGGAGAAGGAACGGGGTGGTTTTTAGTCAGTAAGTCTGACACTCCTTCCCGCCTCACCCAGGCGGGAGCAGTCATTCGATGATTAACCACCTTAAAAAAAAATTCCTTCTCTGTGTGAGAAGGGGTCTTTTCCTAGCAGTAGGACAGTTACTAATGATGATGATAATGAAGATGGAAGAATAATAGCAAGCGGTACTATCAACTGAGGATTCGGTTTCGATTCCAATTTTCAAGGTCTGCAAAGAATCAAATTTCGATCTTTTGGTTTATCCGACTTAATTGTACGATTTCAGTAGATACTAGTACATTTTCAGATTTTGACTGCATGGTTGGCTACAGTAGTCGAGCAACTGGCTCCCACGCAACGTGTCGTAGGTTTAATTCCGATTCCCGCACGGAACAACTATTTGTGAGCTCGACAGAATGTTGTTTCGGGTCTGGTGTCATGTGAATATGAACTTGTATGTTTGTAAACGCACCCACGACACAGGAGAAAATCTTAGTGTGGGGAAACATTATTTAAAAAAAGAAAAAAAGTAGCTTAGGATGGAAATTCAAGTAGTTGAAACGAAAGAGGTATGTAAGAATTGCAGCAATTGGCGTTCCATAGTCTCTACCTACTCCCGTTGGAGACAGGCGTGAGGTTATGTATGTATGTATGTATACCTCTGCCTATGCCTTTAGAGAATTCAATGCTTAAATATCATTATGTAATGGTTTAGTCATTCAGGAATTTTATGACATTTCCGATTCATGTATTTTTAAGAGGAAAAACGTTCGTAGCGTTTTTGTGTCTCTAGGAATTGGGACATCAAGGTTGAGTTGGAATTAATTTAAATATA